CAGTTCTCAAAATAATACATATGGAAAACAGAATCTGAATTTTAAAATGCAAACCAAATTTGAAACATAAAGCAAATCTTGTTTAGTTCTCATAATCTAATTTATTCCCTGTACTTTTTGTTGTAGTTCTTGTGTTTCCCTTCCCCTCCTTTGGGTTTGTGCTCCGCCCTGAGTCCCGCCAGGAATAGGGCGGCATATAAATAAAATGAACCTTGAACCTTGAACCTTTATAGATACACCAAGGAAAAAAATGTAAAATATGAATAAATTAGATTATGAGAACTAAACAAGATTTGCTTTATGTTTCAAATTTGGTTTGCATTTTAAAATTCAGATTCTGTTTTCCATATGTATTATTTTGAGAACTGAGTTTTGGTAAATGATTATAAACTCTAGTGGAATAGTGTGACACCTGCTTCAATTTTTGGCAGAATGGGAAGGGGAAAAACTGATATGTTTACCCTGCAAAATTTCAGCCACATAATTTAAAAAGTTTCACTACAGTGAAGTTTTGAAATATCACCTGTGTATTTCTTTTGAGGCAAAGATATGAGGGCTGAAGAATGATCAATAGCCATTTGCAAATAGTCCATCAAAGAGCCTGTATAGAAGATGTCATGAACCAATGCAGAGAGAGTCCTATTCCAATTAAAAACAAAAATTCTCAAAAGTTGCTTTAAAAAATCAAAGAGTTTCCTGTTCTATGAATAGTAGTTATTCTGGTCAGGCAGGTTTTTGACATGGTTAATGGGCAAGATTAACTATTCTGGGAATTATTTATTATGTGCTTCCTTCCCAACCGTTAATAAAAATGTTTGAGATGTTATTTAACTACATTCCGATAAAAGGAGGTATCATATGCAGTGAACAGTAAACACCCTATCTCATACACATATAAACAAGGAAGAGTACCTAATTTACTCCAGGAAATGACATAATGAGATAAGTATCAGAAAGAAAATAAGAGGATTTTTAAAAATAAAAATTGATGGGAAGAATAGAGAAGGGTCCTTGGTGCTCTCTGAGCTTGGTTGTTTTCTTGCAGATGCTTCATTACTCAAACTAATAGCACTGATGATATTACCTAGTTTGGGTAATGAAACTTCTACAAGAAAACAATCAAGTTCAAAGAGCACCAAGGAGCCTTCATTTCAACCATGAGCTGCAAATACTCTCCTTTATTGCGAATAGAGAGAATTAAAAAGGAAGGAAAGGAGGGACAGAAAAGCTTGTTGTATTGGGATATTTTCCCGTGTAAAATTGAGATTGTCTTGGCAACGTTTCGGCTTAAAGTGTGATCGGAGCAGCCGTCTTTCTATAAATCTTGGTGGGGGGGGGTGTTGAGTGCTGGCGTTGTTTCAATAAGTGGATTGATTGGCTGTGTGGCTGTATCATGATTGGTAGATTGGTGNTTCTGGCTCAGATCTTGCTTTACTTTCATTGCTATCTTTTCATAACCAGTAAAAGTATTTTAATTCCATAAACAATGGAGTTGGGAGTTTTCTTTTTTGGTTGTTGATGGAGGCACGCCTGACACCCCCTTCACTAGCTGCTTTTCTGATAAACAGACTCATTTCCAGCATCAGCTAATGTTTTAGAGGTTCCTCCCATCTTCCACAGATAGAAGGGAATATTTTTTTTCCAAAACATATGCTAGCTACAAGGCATGTGTATGTTAAAAACAAAGTACAAGAACTTTTGTATAACCAAATATATTTGAATCTCATAACAATAGATCAGTTAAATGTTATAATAGCCAGTCGCTTTTGAAAAAAAAAGTCTCTATGTTGATTACCATTTCCCATTCAGTGTATGGATTTTAATATCATGTGCAAGTTTATTTATTGGGCAGCTACAGTCAATCTTCTGCACAATTTTTTCCCCAGTTATGAATCTCTACACATACACTGTATACAATTTCCAATAGGAAGAGACTCAAAAATTGGGAAATCATTGTGTCTGAGATGTCTGCAAATTGACGTCTTCGAAGGGAAATGTTGTAGGAAAGGTAATTCAGTTGTAAAGGTAAAAGAGAGAACTAGTTCATGTTAGCAACTATGCTTCTTTTTTATAGTTTGAAAAAACTGTGTCCCATTCATCAAATTGACAGATTTGTGAGAGAAAAGTAAAAAGAAAACCAAATACAATGCAGTAATGCTATCTAAACCAAATCCTGTTAATATACTACAATAAGATTTGTATGGGGAGCAAGCATTTGTGGTTTATTCTGTGTTTTTGCTGGTCTTCCAACTATTCACTCACATCCAACTTTCAGAGACTTTATGTATTGGCTGCCTTCATTCTTTCTCGTGTTTTACAACTTCTTTTAATGTTTCCAAGTTTAAACCTGTATCTTGCTTGATGGCATCAATCCAAAATATTCTTTGCTAGCCTTGTTTTTTAGCATCTCCAACCTTCCAAGCATGATTGGTTTTTTGAAGATTTTGATTACCTGATATGACCAAAATAAGGCAGCTTTATATTCTAGTCATATTTCTGGATTGATGCAGACTAAAAAAAGCTTGGTTATTTATTTTTGTTTTCCAAGCAACACATAGTACCTATTTCCAAGATCATAATTTGAAAAAGTTTAGTTTTCTTTTATCTGCTTTTTTATTGTCCAACTTTCACAAATATATGTAATTAATGGGGAAAATAGCTTTAACTATTCCATATTTGCTATTACAAGTGATCTTGTTTTTTTAGATTGTCTCTATGCTAGTCATTGCAGTGCAACCAAATGATAATCTAATTTAATTTCAAATTCAGTGCCTCCTCTTTGAGTAAACCAAGAAAAACAAATAAAACCCTGAACTGATTCGATTTGTTTATTGTCATTTATTACTATGATGTTACTTTGCCAATTACCTCCCAAAAACCCATTAGATCACACAGATTAGGCCTCCTCTGGGTTCCGTCTACTAGCCAATGTCATCTGGCNGTAGATGGTGTGTCCTAGGGAGCCATTGGGTTTTTTGTAGATTAGGATTGTAGATTAGGATGAAATAGAGAAACACCCCCACAACATGAATAAATGTGACGATGCCTCCCGCCTGCCAAACATCTGGAAACCAGCCATATTCAACAAATGAGCCCCACCCACCACCCAGGCCGTTGCAACACAAAACAACAACGGACACATAGCCAGCACCAATCTACCAATCATGATACAGCCACACAGCCAATCAATCCACTTATTGAAACAGCGCCAGCACTCCACACACCCACCAAGATTTATAGAAAGACAGCAGCTCCAATCACACTTTAAGCTGAAAACACCAGCCTGAGGATGGTGAGTGAGACCTCGCCAAAATGATCTAAAATGATCAGCAATTTTTTAAAAAACTGCCCAAAGAGACATATTTTGAAGACCCTTGAAAGCAGAAATCAATCGGTCTTCTCCACTCAGCATGGAGGATTAATCAAAGATGCACGGCCTTCCCAGGAGGATCCAAAGACTGTTGTGGAGGAACATCTTAGAGCAGGGAGGAAATCTGCAGGAATATCCACACTTTCTGCTTGGCCCATTGTTAACCCTAACCCCTCAATCTTTTCTGAATACAGGAATAGATGACGCCCTGTTTAATCAGTAAACTGCTCTCAGTGAACCTAGAAATTCATCTTCCATTCCACTTTTAAATCCCCCGGTGGGCACTTTCTTTGAAAGAACAATCTGTTCCCTTTTGCATCAACAGGGCTACAATAGTACCATAAGGGATAAGGTTTTATGTTGACCATAATCCAGACCCGTGATGGCGAACCTATAGCACGTGTGCCATAGGTGGTACATGGAGCTCTCGCTGCAGGCACGCAAGTTGTCACCCAGCTCAGCGGGAGGCTGAGGGAGCGTTCATGTGCGTATGCACAGGGGGTCGGGGCACATTGCATTGCAGGTGTGGGCATGCATGCAGGTGCAATTTCAGCACGCAAGGATAAAATGGTTAGCCATCACTGGTCCAGACTGCACCAGCCTGATCCCATTGCCAACCCACTGCAATTACAGGTAGTCCTCAACTTAAAGACCACAATTAAGCCCAAAATGCCCATTGTTAAGTAAGACATTTGTTAAGTGTCATTTTACGACACTGTGTGAACCGGGGGACAAGCATCTGATTTTTGATCACATGATCATGGGATTGCTACAGAGGTCTTAAGTGTGAAAAATGGTCATGTCACTTTTTTCAGTGTCATTGTAATTTTGGATGGTCAGTAAAGGAACTGTTTGTAAGTTGAGGAGTACCTATAAACTGTAGTAATTTGAGAGATAAAACCTATATAGAGAAGCACATCAATGATTACAATGTAAGCATGGTAGCCTCTCAAGTAATCCATGTTGTTCTCTTGCAGGTGAATATCCTGGAAGCAGTATGAGCCAGAAAGGATCCCCAGGCAGCCACTCGGCAAAGTAAGCAATCTAATGTTACTCGGCAAAGTAAGCAATCTAATGTTTAAATGAACAAAGTGTGGGTGAAGGAGAAAGAAACTGGATAGGTTCACAGTGTTACAGTCTGTATTGTCATAGGAAGTATGCTGAGGACATGTAGACAGCAAGTTTGCAGATGCTGAAAAGTAGAACTGTGTCCTGAGTAAATAGTAATTCTAGTTTCTTATTTCTGGCTAGATTGGGTAGGCATGAAATCCCCTGGTGGGTCTCTGGATTATGTACAGTTTACATTTCTGATTCCCATTGTGTAATGATAGGAACAATTCAATTGTTTCTCTGTCCTCTAAAACAGTGGTCCCCAACCTTTTGGGCTCCATGGACCAGCAGCAGTGATGGCGAATGGTGGCGGGGGAGAAAGAATGGTTGTACATGCACAACCTAATCCCACACTTCCCCTAATAAAGCTTCAGGTACTCACCTGCCACTTGCATGGCCCGGTTCCTAATGGGCCATGGACCGGTCCCTGTGTGTGACTCGGGGATTGGGAAGCCCTCAGGGGTGGGTTTCTCGCCCCGTTCCAACCGGTTCGGTTGGAACGGGGCCAGCGGCGTCCTCGTGCACGTGCGCAGTGCACGCATGCGTACTAGCATCTGTGCGATGCTCCAGCTGCTCCTGGAGGATCGCGCAGGCGCTGTCAAAACTGGGTAAGAAACGCGGGCGGGAGGGTGGACCCTTCGGCGTTCCCGGAAGTTACTTACTTACGGGTTCACCGACCAACCGGTTCGCAGGGACCGCCGCGAACCGCCTGAAACCCACCCCTGGAACCCCTGCTCTAATACTTTACAATTAAATATGGGACTTGTAGTATTATTTATGACAAAATCCTACTTCTGACGACTGACACAAATACTTATGCAAGTCATGATATTTGCATCATGATTTTATGGCACATGTTTCATTCTACTGAAATGAAGCATTTGCGTGAGAGTGGAGAGCATTGGATTCTGTGTGAAAGACTGCAATCTCCATTCACTTCGGACACACCAACCCTTCCATAGTGCTTGTATGTAGAATCATAAATTTGGAAGGAGCCATTTAGTAGCCTTGACTGTGAGATGGGCAGCAAAAAATAAATCCTAGTCAACACTCTTCCCCTTCCATTCAATGGAGGAATCCGGATTAAAACATCCATAGCATAGGACAGCCTAGCCTCTGTTCTGACTCATCTACTAAAGGAGAGTACAGCACTTCTCTGGGTAATTAGTTCCAGTGTTAACTACTCTGGGATTATTTTTTAGAATGTTCAACCTGTAACTTAAATGTATTATTTCATGTCCTGAGTTCTTAAATTGCAGGAGACATGTCTTGGCCTCTTTTGCTTCAGGTTCAGGATGGATGCTTTGAGGTTCTAGTGAAAGACACAGCAAGTCCTATAGCCTGAAACCAACCTGCTGCTTATTTATGTCACTTTAGGGATTACAGCTCCTGAAGAACAATGGCAATTTGTTCCCTTTTATTCTTTTACTATGACATCAGCAGGGGATTAATTTAATGTATTCAATTTAGGTACCGCCTGATTCCACACTCTGACTCTAGGCAGTGTACAATAAAAGCCAGCAAAAATAGAAAATACATTAGAATAAGATTATAAAGAAGGTTGATAACTATGAGCACATAGTAAGTGACAAAGAGCCAGAGCTGTTGCAAAGTCTTTGCCCTATTTGAAACTTGCAAATTACACAAGGCGTAAGAAGTCAGCGTCAAGTGAGGAGAATTGATAAGCTTATTGTCCAATCTCGTAAGAGAAATTTCTACATTCTTCTCTTGCATTATCTGTTTGAAGAGTGAGAATCGGGAAAGAAAAATTGAAAATGCTGTTTTTTTAATCTCGTGCTATGGAAAAAATGGAGGAACTTGCAGCCAAACCTTGCTCAGGAGCCTATGTCCGGTTTTCCCACACAGGATGTTAAAATTCCTGTCATCAGCACTGCAGAAACAAATTGTAAATTTTCTCAAAGATAAATTAAAGTGCTCCTGTTTCATCTTATTGCTTTCTCTTTTTCCAGTGGCAGCATGGGTAAAGGAGATGTCAAAATGAGTGCAAAAGATTTATACGGTAAGTCCATATTTCATGCTTAATAAAGCTTGTTCGAACATGGAAGGTTAGATCCAATTTTATATACCTAACAAAGCAAGAATTAACTTACAAAACAATGAAAAATGATCAGTTATTGGCAATTTAAAGAAAAGCATTGATTGCTAACATAACATACACTGGACTGTTTGCCTTTCCATTTTCAATATGGGGTCATTCAGCCAATTAACCCCCTAATCCACAAGACCACAAGTGTCAGGCTAGTAAGAGCAATCATCTCTAAAAACAGTCATCATCATTGACTACTTCTGTAACGCAGGGGAATTTAAGGAATAATATAATATAATGTATTTCTTATATTAAAAATATATTGATATTGCCATGTGTACACTAGGTTAAAGAACAGTTTGTACTGCTCTCCAGGATGAAGTGCACTTCAGTCACTCCCATTTGGCTCCTCCTGCTACTGCAAACAGTTAAAGTAACTGTGATTTATTTGGTGCAGTGTCTATGCTTGCTAGGAATTCTGTTGGTTACCTGTTGGATACCTGGAAAACAGCAGAAGATTAATTTAGTCTGTCGTATACAAGGACAAGAATTATAAGAAAGAGTTGCCAGAACATTAGATTAATCAAGAATCTCCTTTTAAATATGTAAAAAAAACTATTAGTTTGCAAGTGTTGCCTTCTAGGCAGTTCTTAGACAAAGTGTGCCATGAATTCTTCAGTTGCCATTGTTGGTTTTCTAAGCAGATCTTGTATCAAGAGTTAGTATGGCCAGATTTCTTCTGGTATAATCAGGGGTAGGATTCTACCAGTCAGACTGGTTCGGGCGAACCGGTAGTTCCGACAATCAACTGGGAGCGAACCAATTCCCTCTGATGATCAAGTGGGTCCGCCTGCTCGCCCCTGTGCTTTACTGACCTTTATGTTCTCAGTTGAGTCGCACGGCAGAGCAGATTGCTGCACCTCAGCTGTTTTCCTCCCCAGCAGTATGTGAAAGGTGTTTTCCAAACTGCGCATGCACTGCGTGTGTCTGGTGTGTGCATCTGGTGTGTGCGCGAGTGAAGTGTGCACTCATTGAACCGGTTGTTAAACCAATAGGAGCCCACCACTGGGTATAATGTGTTAGACTGAACTTCTTCTAGATAGTTGACCTGACCAGGCTTTATAAGTAGAGTCCTTACTTTTGCTTCTGCAGGAGCATGTCCTTTGCTGGGGCAACTAGGCCAATGTTTCCAACCTTTTTCATCCCAGCAATTTGTATCTCTGTCCCAAAGGTGCTTTTTCAAGAGGCAACTGGGGTTTCTAGTTAACCAGAAAGTCCAGTTGCCTCTTGGAAAATCACCTTTGGGATAATCATGACCTGGATGACTGAGAATCTCCATAGACAATTTGCATCCCCGTTTCCATCAGTCCAGTTGGTCTGTCTTTTAGTGCCTGAAATTTGGCACTTTCTACTCATTCCCCCACTGCCCAAATGCACAGGTTGCAAGAGTTTGGTGGACTCTTGTGTTGGTAGCTTTTATTACCCTTCTAGCATGTGTAATGCACAACCTTACTCTGCCCTCTTTTCTCATTCTCTAGTTTCTAATGTGGTGTTGTCTTCTCTGCTGGTGATACAACACATGTTTGATAGGAAACATACCAATTGTCCTAAAATTACCTTGCACTGAACTGTATGTAGGCACTGCCAGCTCATTGCTAAGGTGCAATAAAAGGCTGTGGAGAGAGCAGTTTTTCTGTTGGCATACTGTCCTCCTGCCTCAAGAATGGGAGGAAAACACATTGCTGTTGCTCTGTAGGTGAGCCCCGAGAGACTCATTTGTGAACCAGGAATCCCCCTGATGCAAAATTCATCTCTGCTGCATTGAACTTGCAATTAAGAGTGGTCTTAGAAGCTTCATGGATATTTATTGTAGGATGCAGAAATATAATAACACACCTCTTCTCAGTAGCTGCTCCCATAGTAGTAACAGGAGCTGATGAATGACCCTTCTTCCTATTTGCACGAATGAATGAATTGTCCTTTGCCGGCCACAAATGTTCCTTGTCTTCCCTTGAGGTCATTAGGGTGCTGAATGCTCTTTGCCTTTGGCAATGAACACCCAAGCTTCTCATGTGTTAAGCCCCATATTCTAAAAGATTTGCCACATACTTGCTGAAAGATCCGTAGGCTTACAGATCCAGCAGGTAGATCTCAGGTTTCAGCTTCATTCAGTACACAGCTGCCCAGCTGAATAAATGTTAATGTAGACCATGAATAAATAAAGTGACTTCTCTGCTTACTGGCTTCTGTTTTGAACCAAAATGAAAGGGCATTGAAGGGAAATCCATTATATTCTTGGCAAGTCTGGGGAGGGGGAGTATTTCAGAATAATTAGACGTTTGTATGAGAATCCCATTGCTGCTTTTTCTGTCATATTAGCAACACTCCCTGAACTTACGGTAAAATTTTAGCAAGGCTAAAGAAGTAGTAATATACCTCCTGATCATCTTTCCTTTTGAATTTTTCTAGAAGGGGAAGAAGTCCAGATATCTGGATTTATTTTTATATGTAAACAATCCATTCCATTCTGGAGGTTCCATTTGGAGATATGATCAGTCCTCATGGTCAAAGAGATCTTGGACCACAAAAAGCTGGGTTTGTTCATTGGGAGTCTTTAAGGTACAACAGAATTATCTTGTTCGTGTGTGTGTGTGTATGTGTGTGTATGTGTGTGTGTGTGTGTGTGCACACTTGTGTCCGCACATGCACACACACTCCTGCATGTTCTCTGAGAAGACTTATAGAGT